TTAGTCTAGTAAGATAGTTAGAAACCGCTGTCATATAATTATATTCCGGTTTATAGCTATATCCCTAGGGATATAACTATATCCATATTGGTATGTTATCATATAACAATATATATATATATATATATATATATATATATATATATATATCAACCATCTTACTGCAAACTACAACATAAGCATAGCACCCGCTACCTTGAATCATCGGGGCTCGAAGTGTTCTTCGAACCCCAAAGACTATCCAAGTGGATGCCTGGACTTGGTACCTCACTCTGACTTCATACCGCCGCATCGTAATTTAAAGAACCATGGGGCCTCGGTTCAATGAGGTGTTATTTCTAACAACAACTCGTGAATATTGACGCCAACGACTTCCACCCTAAGCTTGGCGAGCTCCTTGGCCCTCTCGAAGGTGACCCCGCTGCGCTGGCAACCACCAACGAATCGTCTGGGTAGCAAACGATATCAACGCCAGCGGGAAAACTGTTTCGGGCCCAGATGTTTGTTTACCTGTAATTTATCTATGTATAATGCTGCTTGTGTCTTGTATTGTACAGGGTATTTATTTTTAAATGCAAAATAAGCACACAATTTTTAGTAATTTTTCTATATAAATATAGATTCATCGGTATAAAACCGGTTTTGATAAGACTGATAAAAATAAAGTTATTATATAACGATTCCTAAAGTAAAACAAAAACACAATGGATATTTTTAAATGATTAACTTTAATCAAGATAAGAATACATTAATTAAACAATTTATTGTTAGAGATTATTTTTTGTTTAGGAAACAATATTTCTACTGCATCGCCGTGTGACCATAATCGTCGGTTACTTACGATATAGTTTCATAGACTTCCGCTTAAAAGAGGCATCAACAGGCTGCTATGACGTGCGGGCTCGTAACTGTAAATGCTGGTGTTCCACGAGGCTGTGTACAACCGCCTACCCTGTTTCTTCTGCATATAAATGTTATGTTGCACACTAGTAACATTCATTGTTATGTAGACGACAGCACTGTCGATGTTTCTTACACCGGCCGAGTGATGGCTCGAAAACAGTGCCAGAACAAACTTGTCTGAAACCTGTTTTGTCTTGTTTGTCTGAGTTGCGTTAAACAAAGGCTTAGGTTGGGTAGATTAAATCCAGTTTGACCCGCAGGAGACACACTGTTGTGCCTTTATCGCTAAAAGGAAACCCTTTGTAATATTTTCTTTTTTGAGGGCACTCCCTGTATTGCGTCAGCTCAGCCAGTATCGGAATCCTGGGCATTGACATATCGTGTGACGTCCTGCAGTTAATTGAATGGAAAGGCCAAGACCTCTAAAAGCTAGGTGTGCTCAGTAAAGTGAGACGGTAATTTCATGCTGGATCACGGTTTGCTACTTTACAAGGCTCAGTTGGGTTCAGTCTCATATGGAATACTGTTTTTATCTTTGATCTGAGGCACCCAAGTACCAGTAGCTACTTAACGGAAAACGGCTCCAATTGAAGACGATATCCACTGATGTTACGAGAAACGTTGCATCCGAGAAATTGTATTAAAAACGGTAACGCGGCCGCAAGTTATTGTATTCACTCGTTGTCTATAACTAACTATGAAACGCAAACAGCGGGACACCCGTTGTTGACTTGGCAACGGGATTCGTTGGCTAGTGGGTAGACACTAGAAACAACTGTTAACTGATATCTGGCAATACAGAGTATTTAATATTATTTTAACAGAAGTTTATTTTTACATCCTGGCCTTAACTTAGTATGACAAGGAGAGTTTTTGTGTTCAAGTATAATGTATAGTAATAGAATAAGACTACACCTGGTGCTATGTGAAGAAGGACAATAGTATAATCACTATTACATTTTAAATAGCGCTGAATGTTTGGTTTTACGGAAGAAAATTGTTCCGTGTCTGGATGTTTGTCCATATGCTATATATGTATGTAAAACTCAACCTATTCGGGAAAAAATAAGAGTGACGAATTAAAAAAATCTTTTATTGCTTCTCAAGCTTTTCTTATTATTTACTATAAAATATAATCTGTAGAAATTCAATGCAATAATAATGATAGTGTTTTTAATCTTTTAAACTGGGATTAGGACATACGCTTGAAATAGTGAAACGGCCATTAGCGACTTTATCGAAATAGTGCAGCGGTGTCGACAACCAATTTCTACGGACTTCACCTTCAACTTAGCGAAGTTTGTTGCCGTTTGTATCGGAGGAAGTGCGTTGACCAGCGGTGTTACAATTAATAACAAAGTCTATAGAACTACCTAGATCAGATTGAAAGATACAAATATACTTTTATTGGGAATAAATTCGAAGGGAAGCAGTGTCTGATATACAGTTCCAACAGCACTATTTTAATTATGTATATGCCCCACCCTCCACCGGCCTGTTCTGTCTGAAAAATCTAGTAAATATATTCATCATATTCATGAATAAATTTACTAGATTTTTCATTTTTAGCGTTTCATTTTCTAGGTTTCTCTCACATTAAATCGAATTTTCCTGTTACTAAGTGTCGACCATCGCTCATGAACAACTGCAACACCAGGGAAATTATAGGTGCGTTGGCGGCCATTTTTAAGGAGTAAACTCGTTTCTTGAACATTTAGAAAAATCACCGATGGTAGATGGTTCCACAAAGAAGTCTTGCGAGGGAGAAAACTTCTAGTAAATCGCACAGCCATGGTGGACCACCAAGCATCCAGATGGTGTGTAAAGTACCGTGGGTTTTGTTCAGATGTGCGTTGTTGGAATTTGAAGGCTGGAATTAATCCAAACAATTTGTCTGAGTACTCCCCGTGGAAAATGCGATAGAAAATGCAATAGGAATAGAATACAAAATTTCTTCGCAGCGTTAGTGAATCGAGCCGATCAGAAAGAATTCGGTCATCAAATAATTTTTTTTTTGAATGATAAAGGTGACAAATGAGCACACATTCCACCTGATGTTAAGTGGTTGCTGTAGCCTATAGACATCTAAATCTATCCTCGATTACGAATCAAAATGCATATGCGTTGTCACCCGTAATGACTAATATGGAATGCCTCGTTTCCAGTAAAAAGGGTTTTCTATAGCTGTAGCATGGCTCTACCACGTAAAAACCATCACGTCTTATTTTTACAATCGATTTATTTGTTTTGTACCAAAAATAAAAAAGAGAAACAGATATACTACTTGCAGCACTTACATTATTATCATAGAATACTATAATACATACAAAATAGAACGGGGGAGTGGGCAGAGCCCGTGTAGCCACTAACATGTCACTAATATGTCAATTCACATCTATAAATGTCAGCACAATCGTGTCCAATTTTTGTGTCAAGCGTCGCTGCATGCAAATTATTTAAAAAATGGCAAATTGTGCAATAAATACGTGTTAAAGGAACAGCGGGAAATGGAATTTAAATAAAGGAGACATCCAAAACCAGTAAGTCGAAACTATTTATATCTTGTGAATATTAGAAACAAAAATGAAGAAATATTTGTGTCAAAAACATTAATCAAAAGTCTGTCAACACAGCGAATCGGGTTTTTAGTAGTAATTAACTGATAATACAACGTAATTGCTTGTATGTGTGCTCCCGGTGACACCGATCCTCGTACAAAATAAGGTTGACAGCCATTATATTGCGTATTATAGTATTCTATGTTTATTATTTATTAAGAATATTGTAATAAATTTTATTCTGTACAAGTGGTGCTGCAAAGGCAAGCTCACGCTCAGCGCCCCTTGAACCATGCGCCGTGGCTTAGTCTGTGGATAAATCAGGCCCTTATGGGAAGTTTTAGTTGTAAAGGCAGCTCCAGTTCTTATTTTAAGCAATGTCCAGCCAAATTGAGTCAGTATGCGTTGATTTTTTATTTTCATTTTTTTAATATGCTCTTAGAATTTTGCCGTTTCGAATACCAAATATGGATTACAAGGAATTATACCATACGTATTTCAATATTTTAAATATTAATGTTCGGTTGGTTTAAAAAGCAGATGCTGGCTTAAAATATCAACATACAACAACGTTTTTTATTATTGAACTTTTATTTCCCCTTTTGATTTTGACTTGACTAAACACTTATCTATAATATCAAATAATAAATAATATATATCAACAAATAAAAAAAAATCAATGTACAGAATGTCATCTAATTAGTTACGATGAAAATTCATCTCCTAATTTTTTCGTAAAATTTAATGGCTTTGGGGCAACATAGTTTCATTTAAATTTTAAATACTATAACATATTTATTTATTTATTTGTATGGATCTCCAACAGTTGTACTTATTAAATTACGTCTAACACATGCCTTACATCTACAAATTACTATGTACAACCAATTATAGGAGAACACATAATTTTAAAACAACAGCATTGCAAAAGATAGATATTAGTTTTTGTAACATAAATAAAAGTTAAATTTAGCATAAAGTTTGTGACTACTTAAGTTTTTAAGCTGTCGTTTCACTTTTACATTAAAAGTGTGAGCCCTTCTCAACTAATGTCCAGTGTTGCTATGTTTTTACACATACATTGTATACGTGGTTTTTTTAAAAAAAAAAGTACTATGGAAATCGGTGTAACAGTTTCCAAGCAATCGGTGGATATATAAAAAAAACATACGCGTCATACATCCAAAACATCAACATGTGTAGCCGGCCAAAAATATGAGAGTTTGTCAAACTGGGATGAATGTCGTACCTCCTTTGTCAAAAGTTGGCAATCTTACGTTAGTGTTTGGGTCGTTGCTCGTTGCACCGCGATGGCGGGGAAGCAAAACCACTGAGATGCCTGCAGCCTGACCATTAAACGCGCAGCCGCAGCGTACGCATGCGCGGTTACCTTTGCCTCGGCGCGGCGCGAAAGCATTTCGACGATTTTTTTTGTAATCGAATAAATTTTTAAATAGTTGGAATTTAAAATAGTTGTCACAACATCTGTTTAAAAATATACTGTATAGTGTTTGTATCGATTGAAGGAAATAAATCAAAATGAAGTATAAGGTAAGATTTCTTATTTGGCTATTTAACTAGAAATATCTATCAAAAATATAGTTCATAAATTCGTATGCGACGAATTTCACGGTTTAAGTAAATTTAAATGCATTTTAACAATAAATATTTTTCAATTTTAAAATATGATTTAGAGCATTTAATTTGTTGAAATTTTGAATTAAGAACCCAATACACCTAACATTCTTTTGACATGTTTATAATTTGCTAAAAACTCAAAAATGCTAAAATATTTTAAGGGCGCCCAACCAAAGGGGTTTCAGTACAATGTTGGTAAACCGATTCTTTAAAATATTAAAATACAAAATATTGCCCACCAAGGAGCTGATATATTAAGATTGCTTAGCTAAATATTATTAAATTTAGTCAAATAACAAATAACTAACACCGTTTTACAAAATATTAATGAAGGTAGTTGACTGAAGATAATTAAAAAACATACCTACAATCCTTGACATTGCGTGTGAAATAACAAAGTATTTACCAATTACAAATATTTTAGTATAAGTATTATTTGCTAATTGTTTTATTATACGGGTGTATTTAATTTACGTTTAATATTTACTTTACATTCAATAATTAAGTTTAAAGCTGATAAACCATAATTATGTTTTGTAGGCTTGTTTCGACATTGCTTGCCTGAAATTTTCTTTTGTCAATGAAACAAGCAAAGAAGATAAAAATAATATAGTTGAAATTAATTTCAGCTGCCAAGCGTGATAGCGGTGGTTAGTTTTTTTTATATTGTATCCTGTATGTACGTTTAAATTTAAATCAAAAATCCTTTTTGTTTTGTCATATTTTTCATGCGTCACACGTCCCACTACTGGGCACAGGCCTTTCATTTATGAGAGGGTTTTAGGGCAAGAAAATTTCCCCCGCTCTGCTATAATGCGTGTTGGCGACTTTTACATGCCTTCAATATATTTTTTTTCTTTCTCAAACATGCGCAGGTTTCCTCACGATGTTTTCCTTCACCGCCGACCACGTTAAAATTGCAATTAACAATTTAATTAGTGCTGACGGGGATCAAACCTGAGGTTTCTCGCGTAGTGTGATATTTACAGCGAGCGCTAAACATCTGAGCTACCTGGGAAAGTATTCAACGTAACGTAAAAGTATTCAACAATAAAAATTTGGAAAGTACTATAGGCATGATACATTTTACCATGTCTTACACATACTTTTAACCATGTGAATTGTAAAGAGTTTTTGTTACATTTTGTAAACTCTTCTTTTTGTAGATACTCACTAAATGGAATACTTAACTTATTATCTTCCCCCATCTAACAATTTTTTTAATTTATTGTGTTTTAGGGTAGTTTCGATGATCACGATTTTTTGTGTCGAGATGTTTTGATCGCCAATCCCATGTTAAATATAAAATGTATTTTGTCGTTACTTATATACTAAAATATAAGTACTTAGATTTAAACTATAACACAACATTTTTAATACAAAATTGTAGTGATACACGCTCTCACAGAACACCAGCGTAAAATAGCAGCTTAATACTGCTGTGTTTCGTATGGTGAGTGTAGAAATCCGGAGACCCCTTTTTTACTGAAAACAAGACATTTCACCTTAGTCCTGAGGGGTGACAACGCGTCTGTATTTTGATTCTTAATAGAGGATATATGTAGATGTCTATGGGCCACAGCATCGAGTTACCATCAGGTGGACTGTGTGCTAGTTTGTCACTTTTATTCTATATTATATTTAAAAAAAAAAACAGCTAGTTATCTATTTTTGCAACCAAGCAGCAGATGTGTACAGGTATGAAGAATATAAAGAGCCAGTAGGTTAATGATGGATGGAATGTCTCGTTTCTAGAAAAAAGTGTCTCCGGTTCTCTACACTCACCATACGAAACACAGCATCATTAAGCTACTATTTTACGCTGGTATTCTGTGAGAGCGTGGTCCTTCCCCGGTCGAGCCGACCCATACGTGCTACAACTATACTAAACTCCTAGGCAGAAAATAAATCCTTTGACCTAAAAGTTCTACCATATAAATATATATTTTTATAGTACAAACTACAATCCTTAACCGTAACTGTGTAGTGTCGATCTTAAATATACCGTCACAACATCTCGTCCTGTGGATGGCATAAGAAACAGGACGTGGATATTAGGAAACACCAGAAAGACACTAGACCTCCAATAGGTGGCGCTTTAGAGAGACTTTAATTGCCATCATCATTACAGCTCTTCACTTCCACTTCCACTGTTGAACATAGGTCTCCACTAAAGAATGCCACAAAACATGATTCTGAGGTAGCTGCATCTATAAATTTCTCTTCATCTCTTACCTATTGGTCCATCTTTCTTCTATAGAACAAGAGTGACAAACGAGCACCCAGTCCACCAGATGGTAAGTGGATGCTGTGGCTTATAGATATCTACATTTATCCTCGATTAAAGAACCAGTAAAGTTTCCAGTAAAAAGGATATCCGGTTCTCTGCACTCACCATACTAAACACAGCATTGAGCTGCTGTTTTGAGCTGGTATTCTGTGAGAATATTATCCATACACTTCGCGTACCGCTATGAGGCTGCTACTTGAGAAACTTTCTTTCTAAACGAAGTTTAATAAACATTTATCTTATAATATCAATTAATCGATTAATTTTCTCACAGCTAGAAAATTGACACCGTGCACCACACAGCGAAACGAAAATATTTAGCAACGTTATTATTATAACGCCGCCATTGTCAAACGATATTTATGATTTCAACATTTAAAATATCGATTGGTTTAGTTTCGGCTTCGCGTTGAAGACAATACTTAGCCAAGTTATTCGGGCGTAGGATTATTTTGTATTATTTTTGAATTATGTATTTCGAGTGTTTGAGGAAATCCATTATATTAAAGTTAGTAAGAATTATTTCGCCCATACCCGATCAATAAAATAAAACGATTTGTCTAACCTAGTTAGAAGAGCACCTCCCGCCCTCCCTCGATTGCGTGCACTAATTCCGTCACCACTAATCCCAGCACCACTACACTGCAATGTACAAACTGCAATGTACAATAACACGCTGTTTCTAAATTAATGTTTTCAAACTTGAATATAAAATATTGTAAATATTTTTTTTTAAAGTTCCGCTGGATGTCCTGCTGGTTCTTCCCAGGACAGAGGTTTTTTCCAAACCAGTGTTAAAGCTAAAATGACTTTCAATGAGTATTCTTGTAATCTATATTAAATAAAATTATTCTATTTTATTTTAAAAACTACGATCGGCAACACTTTCTCTACCCATGGTAAGTAAAAACTTAAGTGTGCAGTCGTTATAAATTCGTGAATTAATTTATTCCGGTTTTTAATTGCAATGGGTACCAAATATTTATTCTAAAAAATAATATAAATTACCAAAAAACAAAAATCAAATATTTTCAACATAAATAAAAATTAATGTCGTATAAAATTCGTAGGGCTACGTTGGCTATCCGAGTACAGAACCAGAGCTCGAAACCTATCCAACTGCAGAAAGGTGTAAGACAGGGTGAGGTTATATCCCCGAAACTCTTCACCGCTGCATTGGAAGACGTTTTCAAGCTACTGGACTGGAAAGGATACGGTATTAACATCAATGGAGTACACTCTAGGAGATAGTCTTGAGAATCGCTGGAGGACTTAAGCACTATGCTCAATGACCTCAATAGTGCATCGCAACGGATAGGTCTTAAGATGAACATGGACAAAACAAAGATCATGTTTAATGTCTATGTCACACCTATGCCGGTAGTTGTTGGGAGCACTATGCTCGAAGTTGTAGACGAGTACGTTTACCTGGGACAAATAGTCCGACTAGGTAAGTCCAACTTCGACCGAGAGGTCAATCGACGGATTCAACTCGGCTGGGCAGCGTTCGGGAAATTACGACATATCTTCTCGTCAGGTATACCTCAATCTCTAAAAACTAGATTGTACAACCAGTGCGTGTTGACAGTGATGACTTACGGATCTGAGACGTGGTCCTTCACTGCTGGCCGTATGAGGACGCTCAAGGTCGCTCAGCGAGCTATGGAGAGGGCTATGCTCGGAGTTTCTCTACGAGATTCAGAAATGAGGATATCCGCAGTAAAACCAGAGTGACCGACATAGCCCAACGGATTAGTAAGCTGAAGTGGCAATGGGCCGGCCATATAGCTCGAAGAACCGATAACCGATGGGGAAGAAAGGTTCTTGAGTGGCAGCCTCGTACGGTGCGTAGTGTAGGGCGACCCCCAACTAGATGGAGTGACGACCTGGTAAGATATGCAGGAAGTCGATGGATGCAGGTGGCTCAGGACCGTGCTTTGTGGCATTACTTGGGGGATGCCTAAGTTCAGCAGTGGACTTGTGAAGGGCTGTAATGATGATGATATGATGATGATGATGAAAATTCGTGGAAAATAATGAGGAAATATGTTCACATCAATATTATTACTTTTGAGGATGGTAGTACATATTTTATAGTCTTATATTTTATTTTAATAGTTTATTTTATAGTTTAGTACATATTTTATCACTTTTAACTTAGGAACGTTTTAAATGTTTTATGCGTGCGGCATGCTGTTGTCAGTGTTGGTGATTATACCAAAGATTTCCAAAACTTTGAGTTTATAAGTTTATGACCTATTGCGATTTGATGGGTCTAAGATCTAACTTTACGACATCCAAATTTGTGCGGTCAAAATACGCAACTTTTTAGAAAATTCTATTTTCGAACCTCATCAAAACATTTGTTAGTTATCTGTTTTGGATGCGATATGATTGCGACTGTTTCTGTATCTCTGACACCTAATCTACTCTATCTCCATATCATAACAGGAGTCCTATTGTGTTTCAAGTAGGTTAGGAAAAGTCAACGACTCTGTGTTCGTGGATAAACTTGGCGCATTATGACGTGTGATAGTATTCGGAAGTTTCCGTTCTCGGCTTAGAAAATAGGAGAAAAACAATAAGCAATTGTGCAAAAATGCTCTTAGCATTGTCCGATAGT